CAGTGACAGCAGCAGCCCGCATCCCTAGATAGGAGCGAGCTAATTAAACCTGGTCACTCCAGCCAAAGCCCAGCCAGCGTGTTTGTGCAAGCTCTGCGGTCAAAGCACATGAAGGATTTGGCCCAATTTCCCCATTTTCATTAATCACAGGGAAAATTCTCCACTTAGAAACAATGCTGGAGATATACCTGATAGGGCTTTTTTTCTCCCTTGGCCACTTCCCACTTGGCAACAGGGATGAAGTTCTACCTTTGCAAAACATTTTGAAACCTGTTTCTGTTCCAATTCAGAATCACCCACCCCAAAGCTTTCCAGGTTATCTGTAAAATAAAACCTAGAGAAATTGATGGCTTGAAATGCTTCAAGCTGATAAACTCAAAATTTATTATTTTAACTGCAATTTTGGTTCATGTTATAAAGCAGAGTGAAAATGTTAAAACCCACAGAAAATGGTTATAAAGCAGAAAATGTTAACAACCACTGAACAAATAGCCTTTGGAAATGGGAAATGTTGTTTTGAAATTGAAGAAATAGAATGTTTTTGCCCTGGCGGCCACCTTCCCTTTCCTCCAAAGCTTGACAGAGTTTCACAAAACATTTCAAGTTTGATGTGCTGTGTTTTGGGGGGAATTGAGCTGTGTCTGCTGGGGAGGGTAAGGAGAAACTCCAGGAGAAAAGAAAACAGCTGGAATCCAGACAAGGTGCCACAGTGGGATCAGTCCCTCCAGCTGGGCTCCAGGGCTGGTTTAGGTTTGGTTTTGGTGCCCTGAGCCCCATTTTGGCCGCTCAGGAGTGTCCAGGGGAGGCAGAGGCGTGCAGGGGAGGGCAGAGTGCTCTGGGACAAGGAGCGGGCAGCCCGTGCTGCTCCACTCCTGTACAAACCCACCCCAAACCCTTCCCCGGTTATAAATAAAGCAGCCAGTGACCCGGGAGATCAATCAGGGGCTGGTGTCTCTGCGTGATGTCACGGCGTGTTTTTCCACAGGCCTGTGGAGTGTCAGCCCGTCTGGGTGCCGGTGGGGCAGATTGATGGCCGCGCTCTCCCGCAGGCTGCGCTCGCAGAGGCTCTGCAGGATGATGGAAACCGGGGCTGCTCGGCACACCGTGGGGATTTTTAGGTGTTATTGCACCATTTCTGGCCCTCTGCGACTGCCATGGCTAGCACAGCTGGATTTGGGGTGATCCATCTGAGCCTGGGCGCTCAGAGCGGGATTTGGGGTGACCCATCTGAGCCTGGGTGCTTGGCACGTGGGGCTGCTCCAGCCTGTCGATCTGGTGGGCAATGAAGGGAGGGATGGAGCCAGGTCTGAGCTGATGCCACAGTTTGGGATGGATCTCGTGATGGGAAACCAGTTCCCTCCAGTGCACCGGACCTGGCAAAGGCCTTGGGAAGGCACAAAAGCTCCTGGCTGGAAATCCAGGTCTGACATCAGGGGTTTTAATGTCACTATTTGACCTTTACTCCTGCTTGTATTTGAACTTACAGCCTGATCCCGTTCCCCTGTCTGCCAGGCAGGAGCTGCTCAGCTCCGACCCGTGGGCACACATGCGAGGGACAGTGTCCCCACAACGTCTGTGCCCAGATGGCAACGGAGGCCAAGGGGTTACACACACCACATGGCTGCAAGGCCGGGCACTGCATGTCCACACAGCAATTCATCAATGAATCCGAGAAGGAGCAGGGCAATTAACACTGGGAGCAGGGGATAGACTAACTAAGCACATGCTGTCACTCTGCTAACAGGGCTGCCTGTGCCTGTTTGTTTGGCTCCTGTTTCTATGGAGGTGGGGGCCATGTCGAGGGGTCAGCTCATTGCTCTGGTTATTTGTATCTACCCAAAATGCTTTCTTACCCTCTCAGAGCCTGAGGAGACAGCCAGGGGCTAACTGGGGACTGCTCAGCCTTTGGGAGCTGTGTTCTTTTGGGGGATAAGAGAACACAGCCTTCCTACCACAGCCAAGTGCTGGAGGCACCAGGACTCAATATCACCTTTGCTGGATCAGGCAAAGCTCATAGAGGGCCCTGGGCAGTGACAATGTCCGGCACTGTGTCCCCTGTGCGCTGTGGCTGCAGAGGAAATGAGCTCGACAGAGGCTACAGTCCCAGCAGCACACAGCCCCTCACCAGCCCCATCCCTACAAGTCCAGGAGCTTGGTCGAGCTGCAGTATCAACCCCAAAATAAGTTCCCAATAAATATGTCAATAAGAGGTCTTTGTTCCCTCAGAAAAGGGCTTCCCATGAGGCGAGCCAGCCTGGCACTGAGGGTTATCCCAGGACAGTGATTTCTCCCCTGGCCGTGATTATGCAAGGCTCAGAGTTATTCCTGGGGCTGCCACGTGAGAGGTGAGCTCCTGGCACAGCAGCAATGCCAGCGCCGCCTCCCCCGGCACCCAGCACCTGCGCCTGCACAGTGACAGCAGCAACCCGCCCAGGAGAGACAGCTGGAGAGGCAGGGGCAGCGAGACCCCTGCCCCATCTCCAGCAAAGAGGGGGCACCTTCTGCAGGGAAGGGGGGTCTGGTGCCCACCCATGGCTTGCGAACCCTGCAGGCTGGATGCCACCCATGGAGCAGCTCTTGGAGCAGGGAATGCCTCAGACCTGTCTTGCCCATGCATTTACTTACCCTGCTCTCCTCCTCGGGCATAGCACTGGCCATGGACTGCTCCTGTGCCCCTCGCCACAGCTCTGGCATGACCAGTCACCACCTTCAGCACCCAGAGTAGGTCTGTGGAATGACCGACCTGCTGAGAAAATAGAGAGCCCGTTCCTTTGAAGTTAATGAGTTGTGAAAGCCTTTGAAAGCAGAGCCTTGTTTATTTACTCCCCACAGCTCATGTGGATGAAGCACCCAGTCAGCCTGAGCACTGCTAATTTGAATGGAAGATCAAACATGGGGCTCTGCCCCGTTGGAGGAGTGAGAGCTGCCCTGGCCTCCTCACTGCCCAGTGCAGGGAGAGCCTCCTGCAAACCCAGGGCCGTCCATGGGCTCTCAGGTGGGGTTTATGGAGAGAAGCACCAAATAAGCCACCAGGCTGACAGAGAAATTCAGAATCGTGGGTGCAAAGCTCTGGCACCCAGCCTGAGCATTTCACTTCAACACCAGAATTCAGCTGTGATCCCTCCTGCAGACAGCAGCACCCTCCCGCCCAGGGCTGGCACTGAGCCCCTTGCTCTCATCCTGAGTTTCAGCCCCAGCCAGAGGTCTCTTGCCCAGCACCACAGCCAAGACCTGCACATTCACAGGAACATCATGCCCGTCACCTCCTCCCTTCCCTCCCCATGAGAGCAGGACACTCAGGCTCCTGTCTTTGTGTAGAAACAACCCAGGAACAGAGAAAAGCCCCCAAAACGGCCACAGCAGAGCGTCCAGCACTCTGCCCACTGTGATGGGTCTTCTAAACAAATTCACAGCCTTCCACAGTCTATAAATATCAGCCTTTTCAATGCCACCACTCTGGGGATAAGCTGTAATGCAATATTCTGTGTGGGCACTCGGACAAAAGGACAGCACCCCACCAGCACCGGCTTTCTGTCACTGCAGTTTTCTGAAGTATAATTGGATTATAACCGTGTGTGAGCTTCTAGCCCCTGTTTCTCTCAGGCTGGGGAAGTCTCTCTCTGATCTGAACAACAGGAATAGGAAGGAAAGAGCAGAATGAGCTGAGCTGGCTCGTGGGGAGGGGGCAGCTGAGGGCTCTGGCAATGGGGAAAGGACTTTGGTGGATAATGGGGTTTACAATCGCAGTAATTAATCAGGTATATCACCGAGGTGCTGACAATGAGAGGTGACCAAAATGCCTGCTCACCTCCATGGTGCGGAAGGAGCAGCCAGGGAAGAGGGAACTGCCAGGCAAGGTTGGTTTTCACCAGCTGTCAGTCACCGGTTTTAGGGTGATGAAGGAAGGAAAGCTGAGAGCCCAGGGCAGCTTATCCACGAGCTCTCCCTGTCCCACAGGCACAGGTGACAGAGGCACGAGGAGAAGGGAGGGCAAAGGGCTGTGTCTGAGCTTGGGCACCGATACCAGACGGCAGTTCTCGCTGTGGCCAGCACCATCCCGGGGAGTGTATCTGTGTCCCTGTCCCCAGACCGCTGCCTGCGGGTCCCCGGCACCTGTGGGGTCCGCACCGCCTCCGCCCCACGGCGGGGACCGTCCCGGCCGCCCCGCCAGCTGCGGGCAGGGCGATCTCTGTGCGCTGCCCGCTCCTGCCCGCCCCGGGCAGGCGCGGGGCCCAGCGGAGCGCGGCTCCCCCGCGGTTTCCCACCCAGCAGTGACACCTGGCGGGGGCAGCGCGGGCGGAGCTGGCCCCGGCCCCGCATCCCCATCCCGCATCCTGCATCCCGCATCCCGCATCCCGCATCCCCATCCCGCATTCTGCATCCCCATCCTGCATACCCATCCCCATCCCGCACCCCCATCCCCATCCCGCATCCCGCTGAGCCCCTTCCCCGGGCCGGGCCCGACGGGGCGGCCGCGAGCGGCGGCTCCCGGCGCATCCCCGCGGGCGCGGCGGTGGGAGCGGCCCCGGTGCGGGGCGGCGCGGGGGCAGGAGCCCGGAGGGGGCTGTCCGACGTGCCCTCGGGGAGGCGGGGGTCGGTCCGGCCGGAGCGGCGGCTCCGCGCCTCTGACTCTGCCCAATGAGAGCCCGCAGCACGGCGGGCGCCGGCAATATTTGGCCGCGGCCCCCGCGCTCCCATCCCCAGAGCGCCCTCGCCCTCCGCGCAAGGCCCTCCATGGCCCGGCCCGGCCCCGCCGCCCGCCCCGCGCCGCTCGGGGGGCGCGGGCCCCGCTGAGCGCCCCCGGCCCCGCGGGGAGGGAGCCGCGCCCGCCGCCCCCCGCGGCAGCATGAGCCCGGGCGCGGGGGCCCAGCCGGGGCTCGCTCAGCAGCGCGGAGCCGGCGGGCGCGCCGCGGGGCCGTGACGGGCAGTGCCCCGAGGGGAGCGCGGGCAGGACCCCCTTCCCCGCTCGTTTCTCCGTCTGGACCCCGCCCCGGAGAGATATGCTCAGCCCAAACCGCCTGGAAGCCTCTCCTGGGATTGCCGTGGCCCCCGGGCGTGCGGAGTGCGGAGCCTTCCCTCGGACGGCGGGCGCGGCCCCCCGGCTTTGCCTTCCCCTCGTCCTCCTGCTGCTCGCCCTGACGCCCCGCGCCGACTCCTCGTGGTGGTGAGTGAGTCCCGGCCGCGGCGCCGCCGCCCCGACGGTCCCCGGGCACCGCGGGCGGGAGCGGGACGGGGATGGAGACGGAGACAGGGATGGAGATGGGGACGAGAACGGGAATGGCCGGGAACGGGGACAGGGCGGGGACGTGGATGGGGACGGGGAAGACCGACCAGGGGACGGGGCAGCGCCGGCGGGAGCGCAGCGAGCCCCGCAGGGCCCGACGTGCGGCCGTGGGAGCCGGCGGGACCGGCCGGGCCGTGGGGGTTCCCCGCGGCTCCACCTGCGCGGCTCCGGCCGCGTCCCGGGCCCCCGGAGCGGAGCGGAGCGGCGGCCGGAGCGGGGCCGCCCCGGGGCCGGTACCGGTACCGGTACCGGGTCCTTCCCCGGGGCGCCGTCACCCGAAAACGCCGCCGCTCCCTCCCTGGGACGGGACTCGCCGCGGGGACCTCCGGGTCTGTCGGGGGCCGAACCCCGCGCGCTGTGTCGCCCCTGACAGCCTTCCCTCCCGGACACGGTGAGCAGGGGCAGGAGCATGAGCCCCTCGGTGCGGTTCGGGCGCGGGAAGCGCCAGCGGCTCGGATCCGCTGATCCACCCCGGCCCCGCCGGAGCTCCCATCCCCGCGGGCTGAGATTATTTACTCTGCCCCTGGGAAGCGAAGAAAGTTGATGTCCCCCTTCCTTTAGATAAGATGTGGCTTTGTAAGAGACAGAAATGACGCCATAACAAAAACCTTCTGGAAATTAGTCCCCTCCTGCCCCGGTTCGTGTAACAATGAAAATTCATCTATTCAGAATGACAGTAATTAGGAAAACAAGGATCGAGAAGTTTTCCAAGTGACCCTGTGCTGTTTCAGTAGTTCAGCAACACTGGAGAAAAAAAAAATAGTTGGCTGCAGTAAAGTTCTCAGTGTCCCCCACCCTGTAAAATCCTCTCTAATCTTGTGGAAAACAATGTTTTCCATGCCAATCTCATCATCATTAACAGATCACGGTGGATGAGGCAAAACTTAATCAAATTCAACCCATCTGCCACTGAAAGAAAACGGTAGTTTCTGGAAATTCTCAGCTACCGTGGAGCGCTCTGTAAGGGGCCGGGAGCATTTAATAGTCATGCAGATAGCACAAGTATTCCCGGTGTTTGAGAGCGCGTCTGGGCGTGTGGCGGCCCCGGCCGGGCTGGCATCCCTCGGAGAGCGATTCCAGGGTGAGAGGGGCTGGTGGGAAAGCTGTGGGGCTCGGAGGGAGCGGGAGCTCAGGGGACAGACTGCTCGGGCACCTGGTGGCAACTGAGCACAAAAGCAGCTTCTCCAAGAGACCAGAAAATGCTTTGGGGGACAAACGGAAAGTAGAAAGAGCAAGGCTGTTCACAGCCATGCCAGAGGAACTTTCCCGAAGCCTGGTCAGCTGAGGGGAGCTGGAATCACTGGGAGAGAAAATGAGTCACTGTTGGGGAGTCTCAGGTTGATACAAGCGCTGACCTGGCTTCCAGAGCCAGCTCTGCCCCAACCCGGCAGGGCAGGTGAAGGCAGGATTGCTTCTGTGGGCAAGGTGAGGCTGCTCAAATGTGAAAAGCTGAGGAGGGAAGGAAGGGACAGTGGAGAAGTTGGATTATTTCCATTATCACAGAGGCTGGAGAAAGAGAGGTTCGTTAGAGCTGAGGAGTGGGTGCAGGGATAACATGGCTGGGAAAAAAGGAGGAATGGAGCAGTCACAGCATCATCTGCCCGGGGCTGGGCAGTTCTGGTAACACACGTGCTGCAGGGTGAGAATTCCTTCTTTAGGAGCAGTGTTAAACCACCTATTTCCCGTGCCGTACCCCCTGTTCCCCGCACGGCCGCCGCGGTCTGCCCTCCCTGCGCTTCCCAGCAAGCGGGAGGAAAACCGGCCTCGCTCAAAGCGCAGGAGCTGCGGCTGGTTTGGGGGAAGCTGGATTTAGCTCCCGCAGCAGTTTGTGCTCTCAGCTCGCAGGCTGATCCCGGCTGGCAGCTCAGGGGAGAGGAGAGGAGAGGAGAGGAGAGGAGAGGAGAGGAGAGGAGAGGAGAGGAGAGCACAGCACAGCACAGCACAGCACAGCACAGCAGAGCACAGCAGAGCAGAGCGGGCAGCCCAGGGCGCTGTGCTGGGAGCCGGGCAGCCCCACGGCCCCAGCCAGGCACCGCGCCGCTGGCCATCGTTACCAAACTGTACCGGTCCCAAGCACCTCAAATACATGACTTTAAAACAAAAACAACTAGAAATTGAATATATTAAACTCTTAAGGTTCGCACTTTCAATTGAGCTTTCTCTTCTGGAAAGCAGAGCATTCCTAAGAAAAGCCTAAATTGAAGCGAGTGCTGTTGTGCTGGATGTGTCAGTCCTGATAAAATAGCGTGTTTAGATGAAATTGTGTTTTACTGAAAATGGTTTCAACCAGCTGTGGTTTGGGGAAGAAACTTATTCAGTGATTTGCATAGGTTTCCAAGCACATCTTTAGCACCACTGATATTACAGTAAATACATTTGGTGGTGCATCATCCTTCCTTATTTTAATTATTATTGCCAAATTCTTCTAGGGATTCACACACAATAAACTTGGGGAACTGGAGGAAATGCTTCTCATTTTCAGAGTCAAGTTTTTAAGTAGTTTTATAGGAAAAGTTGGGTCTCCTCTGATCACAGTACATGGAAAGGAAATATCAACCAAATGTTTCTTCTAAACAACTGCAAATTATTAATTTTCAGTGACGTCAGGCATGGCCCAACCGCTTCGCATAAACGCCAGGAATTGGTGAACTTTGGCATCCAAAAGAGTGGCTGTGTGTGTGTGTGCATGTGCTCGGAGCACAGCGGAGGGGACAGGTTGGGGACAGCGTGGTTTTGGCCTGTGTGGTTGTGGCTAACGGTGACAGCGGGGTGGCTGCGGCTGTGGCGGGCAGCACCCTCGCACAAATGCTTCCAAACTCCAAAGTGTTCCTTAGCAACAAAATACCAGCTGAAACACAGACAGAAATTAGGAAGGAATGCAACGGGAAAATCCCTAAATCCCGTTTACACTTGCGTGCACTGGCAGGGAGAGCAGCATCGTCTGGGGGATGGCGCTGGCAGGGCTGTGCCCCGCGCCGCCAGAGCCGCCAGGCCCCGAAAGCGGCCCCCGAAATTCCTTGGGAAAGATCTGGGAGATTAGACAAATGTTGCTTATAAACATAAACTGTGCAATAAACAAACTTGTTGTAAATAACTAAGTAGGGTTTACTCGCTATTGAGAGCCCGGCGAGCCGTTCTGGTGTGGAAAGCCATTCTAAAATTAAAGGTTTGGTTAAAGAAAAATGTACACAAAGCCCTGCGTACCCCCCTGCATCCCACCCTCACACACACCCACTCTCCTGCAAACCCCCCCAGCTCCCCTGCACACCAAATCCTTGTTAGCTAACTTGTTTATTGCTAACCACAGCCCTTGGAAACTACAAATATTTAATTTCATTTGGCATTGGAACAGATGGGAGGCATCAGGCTCCCAAAGAGATAAAACAAATCTGTGGAAGGAAGAGGATTGCAAGTTTGGGTGTGGGTTGGAGAGCGTGTGGGAGCCTGGCGACCACATGGGGCTACCCATGGTGCTGTCAGGATACGGGGGCTCCAAGAGAGCTGCTGCATCCCGGGATGTGATGCACACATGGGGATTGTGAGGGATGACCAGAGCCAGGCAGCCATCATGGTCCAGCTCCCTTCCTTGGCCAGGGAAGGAGGAGTGTGTTTCTGGGCATGGAAAACATACCCAGAGCAAGCCCTGGACGCGGCTCTGGCCAAGGGTTTGGTGAGGAGACCCCCAGTGCAGATGGAGAAGGAGACATTCCCACCAGGTTGGGCTGCTGGCTGTGCTCCCACTGGTGCTCTCCTCCAGGATCTGCCTGTATTCCCACTGAGGCTGCAGCGCTGTCCGTGCTCAGCTGCAGGATGGGCACAAGGAGTGATGGAAAAACGGAGCCACAACGTATGTGTGGATACAGGATACAGGAGAGAGAGGCTCATTTAAGCAGGCATCATGCTAAGGTGTGTGGGAGGGGAAATAGCATCAATAGGAATGTTTGAAATCAAGCCAAGGGAAAGACAGCTGCATGGAGGAGCTGCAGAGCCCGAGTTTTACCCTCTGGGGGGGGCTGCTCCTCCCCTCCGTGCCAGCCTCAGCTGGGCAGACCCACAGCAGCCCGGGGGCTTTGCTCACACAGGGTCTGGCAGGCTGAGTGGGGGCTCCAGGGGCTGTAGCTGTGATCCCATCCTGTGTGTCCATAGCTGTGATCCCACTCTGTGTGTCCCTAGCTGTGATCCCATCTTGTGTGTCCCTAGCTGTGATCCCACTCTGTATGTCCCTAGCTGTGATCCCATCCTGTGTGTCCAAAGCTGTGATCCCATCCTCTGTGTCCCTAGCTGTGATCCCATCCTGTGTGTCCATAGCTGTGATCCCATCCTGTGTGTCCCTAGCTGTGATCCCATCCTGTGTGTCCATAGCTGTGATCCCACTCTGTGTGTCCCTAGCTGTGATCCCATCCTGTGTGTCCAAAGCTGTGATCCCATCCTCTGTGTCCAAAGCTGTGATCCCACTCTGTGTGTCCCTAGCTGTGATCCCATCCTGTGTGTCCCTAGCTGTGATCCCACTCTGTGTGTCCCTAGCTGTGATCCCATCCTGTGTGTCCAAAGCTGTGATCCCATCCTCTGTGTCCCTAGCTGTGATCCCATCCTGTGTGTCCATAGCTGTGATCCCACTCTGTGTGTCCCTAGCTGTGATCCCATCCTGTGTGTCCCTAGCTGTGATCCCACTCTGTGTGTCCCTAGCTGTGATCCCATCCTGTGTGTCCAAAGCTGTGATCCCATCCTCTGTGTCCCTAGCTGTGATCCCATCCTGTGTGTCCATAGCTGTGATCCCATCCTGTGTGTCCCTAGCTGTGATCCCATCCTGTGTGTCCAAAGCTGTGATCCCACTCTGTGTGTCCCTAGCTGTGATCCCATCCTGTGTGTCCCTAGCTGTG